AATATGTGTTTTCCAATGGTCTTAGGCGACCCCTGTGAAAGGGTCGTTCGACCCCCAAAGGGGTCCCGACCCACAGGTTGAGAACCACTGCTCTACAGGGCAAGGATCTCTTCTGTGCATGAGAAGGAACTATGGATGAGGACCTCTTTTTTTCAGAGCCTCCATTCTTTTAACAATATCCTTTCACGCATATAAGTGCCTGCTCTGTCTCATAGGATAGGACCCTTCAACTAAAGGATACCGTGTCCTCTTCCAGAACTAAAGAAAATAATAATAATCAAAATTTGGGGCTCTGATCACTTGTGACTTCTTTTTATCTGGTGTTTCTCTTAAAGCTATTTGAGGGGACCCCAGGGGAGCAATTCACACACTTAATTGCAGTGTTGGTCATCTTAATTCAGGGGTCTCCAATCTTGGCAACTTTAAGCCTGGTGGACTTCAACTCCCAGAATTCCCCAGCCAGCAAATCTGGCTGGGGAATTCTGGGAGTTGAAGTCCACCAGGCTTAAAGTTGCCAAGGTTGGAGACCCCTGTCTTAATTGATAGAGGTGTGATGGTGGAAGTTTGGCCCACTGGCTGTTGAAACCGGAAATTGTTGGATGACTCTTGAGTAGATCGGGGACCATTCAGCTTCTCAATAACCCATATCAAATATTCTTAACAATGGATTTTCTGCACTGACAAGCAGTTAGTTCAAATCTGCCTTCTCCAATTCAGTGACATCCAGACAACTTGAACTAAAACTCCCAACACCTTCAGCCATCATGATTACATCTACTTGGTTTGACTGAAAGTCTGATCTAACATAAGAGGGCACCAGGCTGTGGAAAGCTGGATTTAATGTTTTTTTTTTTTTGCAGTCCCTTCACTTCTGTAATTTAATCTTTAGAGAAAGGTTGCAATCATATGATAAATTCATGTGAATTGATCTTTATTCATAAAAAATGGTCTTAATTTTGATGGGTGTGACTTTCCTCTGGTGCCTCCATGTCTCCCCTTTTACCACAATGGACAGTTAGAGAAATATTAAACTATTTTGATACGGCTGGAACAACTTAGTCACTCAACCAAATGAACAATGTAATACACAATGATTCAGTGTATTGTGAACTAAGCTGCTTAAACATTCCATTTAATAACCCAGAAAGTAGCTTGAAAGGGAATCTTCTTTCCTATTCCCATTTTCCCCACTACTCATTCTTGTATTGGGATCAGCTGAAATACCTTCCCATCCAGTCCAATGCCCTGGGTCTGCTGAAAAAGATCACACTGAAGTTATCTGGGCTTTTCACTTATTCAAAACACACATCTTCCTAAAATCCAGACTGTAACCAAGTTTTGCCAAAGGGCACACACTCTAGAAGGAACCCGCATAAGCCTGACTCCCTGATATATACTTCTATAATGCAAAGGGTTCCTGCAGTTATGTGTTTACTTTGTCAAATGGTATGCCTAAAAATAATGTAGTCAACTGAAGATATTCTGGAAATTTCTGACCAGGCTAATTCCAAATGTACTAGAAGTTGGTCAGCAAATAGGTTAGCATAGCTGTTGTTACAGATTTAGATGGAAATTGTCCCCAGACCCCATCAGAACAAACTACTGACTGAGTAGCCTGATTATGCTGCCTTTAAACACAGATATTCCAGTGGTTTGCACAGTACAGAATGCAACAATTAAAATGCCTTAATTTTAAAGCTTTGGTCAACCTTAATCTGCCCTTTGGGGAGGAAATTGTTGGGAACAAAGACATTGCTTGGCCAGGCCCACAGCAGCCATGGGGAAAATAGCATTCTCCTGGAAGTGTGTTGCAAAATGTCAGATCTAGTTGGAAAAGAAGAGTTTAGTGAAATTAAGTCAGAAGAAGCAGTGTGGAAGACACCCCCCCCACCACAAACACACACTCAGAGTCTCAAAAATAACACCTTCAAAACCAGCCCACTCATTATGGTGTCAGGTGGAAATATTCCATCTGAGTAAGATGGAAAGCCATTGCAAGGATTCCTATGAGTGTTAAGAAAGAATCAGAGTTGTAAGTGGCACCAGTTTCATTTTTCAGGTCCATGCGGTTATTCTTTCAATCATAGAAGAGAACATTCTCCAGGACCAATGCAGAGCCTTGTTAGTGTAGGACTGATCATAAAATGAGGTTCAGAATACAGTGGTACCTTGGTACTCAACTGCTTTGAATTTGGTACTTAAAGCAGTTTGACACAAAAATTTTGTTCTGGCACTCATCGTTTGTTTGGTACTCAACGCACAAGCTAGAACCTGTCAGTGTCGGCTGCCTTCTGACTGACTACATTATTCCTTATGGGAAACATTTGTTGGAGGCTCATCATTTTTGGTACTCATAGCACCTCCCTGAACCAATTAACAATGAGTACCAAAGTACCACTGTGATCCCCCCCCCATCTCTTGTTTTCTGGTTATGCAGAATTCTTTCTGGGTCCCATATATTCAAAAAGAATACACAGGTATATTGTTCTCATTCAAAAGAAAAAAGTCTGACACCAATAATTCAAATGAAACAGAAATTGTCCTTTAAGTGACTTGTTACTTTGAAAATGTTCTGTTCGCACTTCTCATACAGTTTTTCTTTTGTTTTAAGATTTGTTTTGCTTGATTTCTTTTGTTTATTTGCCAAAACCTTTACTTTTTGGCAACACAATATATTAAAAATATTTTTTTCTACTTCTTTCCTTCCCTCTGTTTGCCAACAGGAAGACAGTCTAAATCCAACACTCCTATCTGCTCTATTAGATTTGTTCTGCATTTTCAAAATATGCCGCAGCTTAGTCTGTTTTGCAGCAACACGCGAGATCTTTCAGCTTTCTGAAATAAATAGAGCCCTGGCCTCTGTATCTAGAGGGATCTGTGGGTTTTATGGCTGGCACTGGGGTTTCTGGTGCTTAATAATCTTCCAGAGACTGCAAATTGTGGGAGAGAGGGTCTTTCTCAGCGTGTGGAAAGGGGCAGAGTTGTTGGCACTTGGGCTGAAATGGCAGGAAGAGCCTGTATCCTCCTAGTCTAAGGGCGGCTTTCTTAATTTAACTTCACATACGGGAGAGAGAGGAGAGCTGGAAGAGAGAGCTATTTTTAGCCTTTGTCTGCTAGTAGTCAGAGTTAAATGTGAGCATACAGGTGCAGGATGTCTCTGTGCATGGTCCCAGACATATCTACATGCATGCCTCATGCTGGAGGGGAGCAAGAGTTAAGCAGAGAGAAGATTATTATCAGGATTGCAGAAATGGGGAGTGGGAAGAGAACTGGGGTTGGGGTTTGGGGGGAGGTGTAGGCAGACGATCTGCAGAGCTACCCCACGATGTTGGTGAGGGGGTTATGCTGGGAGTGAGTGGGTCAACGGATGTTAGGGTTCATTGGCCGGGGGTTGTGTACAAAGGCCAAAGCTGTAGTAAGGGCCATGCTGAGCCGTGAATTGGGAGGAAAGTGCCATTAAATCTGCCAGCAAGACTCCGGCAGGCTGAGTCTTTCCAGGTCAGGTAATTATCCTTGTGAAATATTCATGACCCCTTATCCCAGATGCTATTTCAGAGCAGCAGGGGGAGAGAGATTGGGATGCGAGAATGAAAGCTCCAGAAGATATACAGGCACACACCTACCTCACAGCACGAATCTTTACAAATTACACACATCCCAGGGCTTCCAACCCACCCTTTCTCTTCAATGCACACAAACATCCGTAAGTTGGGCACACACGGTTTCATGTTCCCAGAGACGTTTAAG